TCACCAGTTCTACTAGAACATAAGCTCTGTGGGAGCAGGGACTTTGTCATTTTCCTTGCTCTGTCCCCAGTACCCAGAATTCTCCCTGGCATATGGCAGCACAATCTGTCAATAAAAGGTTGAATGGATGCATTTATATATGCTACTTCTGCCTCTAATTCCTCATAGGAGGAAGGGGATATATTATGGAAACAGAACTTAAACCTCCATCCTTAGGTCACAGAATTGTAAAATATCAGAATTAGGCAGAACCTTAAAAAGCCATTCATATTCAATGCTTGCATGGACCTTTATGATGAACAAAAAATTATATTGGTAAAAAGTTTTCTGGGTTTTTTTTTAAGAGCATTGTGATCACATGGTCAATTGAGCTAAGTTCTTGCAAATCTTAGGACAGGCTATGCACCATTCACTGGACAAAGCTACAACCTAAAATCATTTTACCTTGTTCTTGTAAAGAAAGTTAGTCAGGGGAAGCCTCAAAAGTAGAAAGAAACCTTCACCAGCAACTATTCTTGTTGGGAACTTGGCCAGTGAGGCAGGCCACAGAGGCGGCAAGTGGCCAGGACTATGGACAGGTGTTGGCTGTGGTGAGTGTCAGGCAGTGGCTGATTAGGACAGGTGGCTGGTGTGGAAGGAAGCCAAGAGCCAGCCCAGAGTGACCTGAGGGGGGCAGGTGGCCTCAGAGTGGCTGGAAATGTCAGGGACAAGGGCAGAGTTCTCTCGATCTTCAGGCCTGAGACTTACCAGCTCAAGAACCTAAGCCAACATCCGCCCTTCGAGAAAGCAACTTTCCTCAGGACAGGTTTTGGGGGAAGCCGAGTGGACTTCGCAAGCCATAATCATGTAGTCAGTCAAGCTAAGGTCTTAAAAGGTTTTGGAGACGACCACTGAGTTGGCAGGGAACACAGCTTAAAATAATATTACTTCAGTGGGTGCAGCGGGTACAGTCTCCCATAAAGTGCTCATGAGGCCCCCAGTCTGCTGCCCCTTCCCCAGTGTGTGCCCTGAAGCTGGGGTGACCTTCTGCTTCCTTCCTTTCCTCCTCAGGTACCATTTACAAGCCTTGCCTCTCTGCCCTAGCCCCCTGTCCTTTCCAGGCCAGCAGGGAAGGCGACCGCAGAGTCCCCTCTCTACTGGGGTCTGGAGCAACAGAGGAGATCTCCTCAGGCATGAATGAACGGTCTTCCCAGTGTTCACTATCCTGTCTCCCAAATGCCCCCAACCTGCACATCCTGGCATCTGGCATTTAAGAGCTGGGATGCTGGGGTTGGTGGTCAGGGGAGGCCGTTTCATTACAAGAGGTCACGGTTTCTGTCTCCACTTCTGATTTTTTTTTTTTAATCAAGAGTGCTATTCTTAGATAAATACTCCTCCCCATTAAAATGGCATCAAGTGCGACCTGAGTGAGCACGTGCGACAGCTGGATCAGATGAACGAGCCCACACCTCACTTAGCTGGTTCATCACTTGGTTTATCACGGCCAGCTGCTGGAGGCAGTTGCTACCATGATACACTTGAAAACTGTTCTTAACACACCAATGAATGGTTTTTAAGACACAGATGAAAGGTGTGAAATAATGGTGGACACTGAATCGGGTCTGTAGTCTACTTAACAGAGAGGCACCAGCACCATGTGCCTGGTTTCCACCATGTACCATGGCTCCCTGACATGTCAGCATTGGGCGCAGCCAGGCGAAGGGCACACAAGATTCTGGACAATGTCCCTGTGAGTCTATGATTATTTCAAAATAGAAGGTGAAGATATGTGTGCACTCTTTGTCATGCATAGTGTAACAGACTACTAGGATATGAATTACGTTGGGTTCATACCACACAAAATGGGGAAAGGGAGGAGCGTTAGTGCCGCTCCCACACTCCAAGAAGATAGCTGCAGATTTGTGGTTCTGGGCTCCTGGGAAGAAATGAGAGGCCTTGCTTTTTTAAATCCTAGGCTAGCTAGGAGAGGCAATGAAGCTAGATGGTCCTTAAACAATGGGGCTTGGAGCTTAAGCTTGGAGTTGGGTTGATGGAAGCAGCCAGACTGAAGACAGAGGGGCAGGAGAAGGGACATTGCACCCAGGGGCAGCCACTGTGCTCCATTACAGACATGTCCACCAACATCCCGCCAGGGCAGAGGGCCCGGCCTAGCCGAGGGGCCAGCGCCCAACAGCTACTACAGGCAGCAGGACAGCCAGGTCACAGAGTGACCATCACAAAGAATCGGAGCCCTCTCCCCCGTCCACTGATGACTCGGGATGACCCAAGTCCCTGGGGAGGGAGTGGGTCTTCAACGCCCCTCACCCTGATGGAAGTTCCCACCAGCATGAGGTGGAGGTGTGAAGTAGATCTAACACTGTTCGAGAAATAAAGGAAGCTGATATTCTTGTCACACGTCTTAGGAACCAGATGGAGGCTGACAGGTACTATGTTCCTTCTATCCCCCATGGAGCAAGCAGAGGGAGCCCTGATCTGTTTGAATAAAATGGGCCAGAAGGAGTAAAAGGTAAGACTCCGTGACATCTCCTCCAGGTGGTTTTCAACAGAGCCAGAGTTTCATCTAAAAAGCATCAGATTGATCTGAGCTATAACATCTAGAAAAACCTACCAGGATGGGTCGAGTACTTTGGAAATCAAGTTTTAAAGAGGCAAAACACAGCAATCTAATGGACTTCTCTGTTTGCTACAAATAAGCCTTATCTAAGCCTGCGGGCACCATGGGCCAAAAGGTGTCATGACGAACAGCCTAGGTGGCCTTCCCACCTTAACCTTTAAAAACAAATCCAAAGGGCACCTGGGTGACCCAGTCAGTTAAGCATCCACATCTTGATTTCAGTTCAGGTCATTATCTCAGGGTTGTGAGATCAAACCCCAAATCTGGCTCCACACTCAGCAAGGAGTCTGCTCGAGATTCTCTTTTCCTCTGCCCCTCCCTCTGCATGCACATGTGCATGCTCACTCTCTCTTTAAATAGATAGATAGATAGATAGATAGATAGATAGATAGATAGATAATAGATAGATGATAGATAGATAGATAGATAGATAAATAGATAGATAATAAATAAATAAATAGGAACAAACCCCAAAACTATTAAAATGTATAAGAGGGAAAAAATGAAAAATGAAAAATAAAATGGATAGGAGGTTCTTCAAGTGCAAAATACAGCCATTCTAAATATCAGATAGTTTTGTCTCCTTTTCAAATTTCAATCCATTACCCTATATATTCAATCCCAAAGGCAATCATATTATGTCATTTGTAATGCCTACTGACAAATCATGGGGTTCTTTTCCTTTATATAACTGGATTAAAGTAGGTCAAAGAGCATGGATCACTTGTCAAATTGGAAAAAATCAGAATCTATCTTTATGTAGAATATTATTAAAGAGTTGAAAAATGAGTTTGATCATGAATGTGAATAATACATTCATCTAAAATTAAAATGATTTTACTTAGTCATTTCTTCATCACAGCTCAGGTGAAAATAACAAAAATGATTTTTTTTCATTCCTATCAGGATTCACAAGATTATAATCTACTTTGTAAAGTGTCCTCAATAAAAAAAAAAAAAAACGCTGGTTTTGATGGCTTACCACCTCCCTGAACAATAACTGAGAAGAGGAAGTAGACCCATCCTTGCTGTAGTTATGAAAATGCTACCTTCCTCTCAGTCCCCAGGAAAAAGGGATTGGGATGTAATGTTTCTTATCTTTGTCTCTCTGTCTTAAAAGAACCAAACTGGATTTCAAAAAGTATAAATTGATAACACTGTAGGGGGCACTAGGCAATTCCTGTAAAATCTGCATTATAAAAACATGGATTTTTAAATTACGGGGTAATGAAATTGTCACTATATTTAATTTAAAATTTATTATTTCTGAATTTACAGACTGCCATGAAATTCCATCTAAATTCTGGGTCAGGATTAAAGATTTTTGTCTTTCTTCCAAACAAAAGACTTCAAAGAGTCTTAAATTATCAACACTTTGAAACAGCAATCTTTAAATATGAGGAATTTACTGCCCTGGCCCCTCCAAATTTAAATTCCTTAAGATGCAGACAAATTGATGCCCACCCCCATCCCAACACGCCCATAGCATATTTCCCTAGTACCCTTCCTAACCACATTCCATCTGCTGGGAATGAGAGTCCAACTACCTTAAAAGATGTCTACGTATCTATAAATAGGTAAAAAGAACCATAAATAGGTAAAGATGCAAATCATGGTTCAGTAAACAGTCTTTGCTACAACTGGCCTAGTGCATTTCCACCACTGGCTCAGCCCAATGCCAGCAACGCCACCCACTCAGCTCCCTGTGCACCAGGGTCTCCCCTTACCTGACTTATTGGTTACATTCTCAGTATTCCTTGACTCAGTGGCCCATCTGATTCCCCATTCTCTCAGCTTGGGCATTCCAGAACTAGAGTCACCCCAGCCCTCCCATATCCCCTGCCCTTTATCCTGTGGCCTCTGAACTAGGACCCTTGTAGAATTAGATCACAGACCTTGGAGCAGCTGATATTCCCATGACTGGATCTGAATTGAGTGTGGGTTTTCCTCCCTGAGGCCCCCCCTTCTCTCCCCCCAGCTCCTGTCGGCTTCCCACAAAATGTCCAACCCCTCTAGTTCTGTGTCCCAAGCAGGCAGTGTTCTTGGCGGGTGTTTTGCTGGAAATCCATCAATACTCATAAGGTTCCTTGTTTTATAAAAAACTTGAACCTAACCCTAACAACACAATTACAGATTATTAAAGCCTTGTCTAGCCTGTCCCTCCAGACCTGGGTTCAGGGTCCTTCCTTGGTTTCCTTTCAGTCCCCTACCTGCCTTGACCACAGTGGTTAACGGTTCCTCCTGCTTCCTTCCTGGATGAACCCTCAGCTCCTGACTTCTGTGCTCACTTCAGTGTGCCTAGGAAGATTCCTGGCACCTGAGCGGTGCTTCAATGCTTGTTGACCTGAATACAATGAAAACTATGGTGCAAAATGCAAACACTCACATTCTTCTCCTGAGATTCAGTGAGGTTGCCTGCATCTTCATTGTCCTCTTTTTGTGCCTCATTTTCTCCAGCCTCTTCAGTCTTCTCTGTTCCCTGGTCGTAAAGCAAACCATGGTATCACTAACCTTAGATAAACTTTCAAGGGAAAACCAAACTACACATGCTATGGTTTTCTTATTTGGATACACAGTATACAAACAAAGCAAACATAGACTTCCTATTTATTAGGTCACTTAGCCACTAGAGTATAGAATCACCAATCCCGTATATTGTTCATTGGACCTGCTGTTGTAAGTCAATAGATCTGAGTCATGTGCCTGGTAGAGAAATAAACTCACTAATGAGAAGCTTGTAATTCACCCACTTAAGGCTTATGAAGAAAACTCCAAATGATTTGATATTTAGACAGTGTTTGCTTTCTGTTGCTTAAGTGGAGGCAGGTTTTATCATTTTAGAGAGAAAAAAAGATGATAGGAGATAGTGAATACATACATGGATGGATGATGGATGGATGGAAGGATGGATGATGGATATGATAGTTGAATGATAGATAATAAATGGATGAATGATGGATGGAGATGGATGATGATTGATGATAGATAGATAGATGATAGATAGATAGATAGATAGATAGATAGATAGATAGATAGATAGATAGATCTTCTATCTATGTAAAGTAGAATGACAGAAAAAATGAGAACCAAGCAGACATTCTGAGGAAGCTAGTCTGGGGGAAGATGGTTCAAGATATCAACTCTTACCTCTGCGGTGCTCTGTACCTCTCCCACTACATCACCATTGGGAAGGGAAGATGCATCCTCGGATGATTTTGTCACCTGCGTCATATAAGTTAAGAACATTAGAAAATTTTCTTGAGGATAATAGCGTGCATTTCAACATCTTCTAACCAAGTTATGTTTGTCTTCATCCCTCACTTTATCTTTACAACAATACTATAGCCTGGTAAGTAGTACAATCACTACTACTCACACTTAAGAGATGAGAAAATCAAGGCATAAAGTGTCACATTGCAAATTAGGGGTGGGGCTAGGTCTACACCTCCTACTTTATGCTCTTCGGACTTACCCACAGTTGCCAACCTTCTAAAATATTAAGTTATTTTTCTCATCATAAGAAAAAATTTTGTAACTGTGTGAGGTGATGTTTGCCAACTAAACCTATTGTAATCATTTCACTATAAATATATATATATATATACATACACACGCAGCAGTTCTTTTACATTGTACACCTTAAATTAATACAATGTTATATGTAAGTTATATCTCAACAAAATTGAGATTTATTTATTTATTAAATAACTAATAAAATCAGTTATTTTTATTACAAAGGCAGTTAAACCATTGACACACCCTCTAGTACCATGCTCTTATGGTAATCAATATTAAAATTTTGGTATATACCTAAATCTATCCTAATACATCACAGAGGTTTTTTTGTTTGTTTGGTTGGTTGGTTGGGTGCTATTTTTGTTTTTTTGTGTGTGTGTTTCTTAAAACAGGCATGGGAACATGGGGCACATATTGATTTTTTAGCTTGATATATCCTGAACATTTGCCCAGGTTAATTCAAATAGTTCTAGCCTCATTTTTTAAATATCTGCTGAATATTAAATATATAACTTATTCAAATATTTCCCAGCCAATAATTTTTCAGAATTTATATGTTTGTGCTTCAATAAACACTATACTAAGCTGAATAAAATGATGGGGGTTTTATCGGATTTCTTTCCAAAAAAAGAAACTGTAGCAATTAATATTCCACAGTAAATAAATTAACATCCTCTTTTCCTTTATCCTCATGACCAATGATCACTCTTTTTGGTCTCTACCAACACACTGGGGAGAAAATGAAAACTAAATTTTTGTTTTTGTTCCCATTTACATTTTCTTAATTACTAGAAGAGAAATGTATATTTTTCATGAGTTTTAGCCACTTACATTTCCTGTACTGATACTTGCCTTCATATTTTGCCCCTTTTTATTTGAGTTGTCTTTTATTATTAATCTTTAGAGGTTCTTTACATAATAGAAATATTAACTCTTTGTCAAGTTACAACTTTAATTTTTAGTCTATAAATTTTTGCAAATTTTGTACTTTTTAGTCTTTAGCCTTTCATAAAAAGTAAATTTATCTAATTCTTATTCTCTGAATTGCTATGCTGTTATTTTATATTATTTATGAACAAGAGCCTTGATCCCTCTAGAATTTAATTTTGCCTATAATGTAAACTAGGGCTCTGTTTTCATCCAGATAAACAGCAAAGCACGTCTGCACTATTTATATAGCATCATATATTTGAATATACAGCATATCTATGAATATATTTATCAGTTTCCATGCCAATATACTGCTTTTATCAGTGTAGCTTTTAACATGAATTTTAATATTCAGAAAGGCAAGTTGCTAAACAGTTTTGTTTTTAATTTTCTTGGCTCCAGTGCCTGGTGGCTCAGGCAGTCAAGAATCTGCCTTCAGCTCAGGTCATGATCCTAAGGTCCTGGAATCAAGTCCTGTATTGGGCTTCCCACTCAGCATAGAGTCAGCTTCTCTCTCTGTCCCCTGTCGCCGCTTGTGCTCTCTCTCTCACTCTTTCTCTTAAATAAATAAAAAAATAAAATATTTAAAAATAAATAAGTAGGTAAATAAAAATAAAATTTTCTTGGCTCTTCTCAGGTGTTAATTATTCCAATAAATTTTAAGGTCATTTTCCTAGTGTCAAATTTTTTAAAATAAGATTTTGATTAAAATAGCATTAAATAGGGGGGCCTGAGTGGCACAGTCGGTTAAGCTTCCAACTCTTGATTTTGCCTCAGGTCATGATCTCAGGGTTGTGAGATCGAGCCCAGCATGGGACTCCACACTTAGCATGGAGTCTGCCAGAAGATTATTTCTCCCTCTCCTTCTGCCCCTCCTGCTTGTACTCTTTCTAAAATAAATAAATAAATCTTTAAAAAGATAAAATATCATTAAATATATTTATTAGCTTAGATAATTTTCACTTCTTATTGTTAAGTCATCCTATCCAGACAAATTGTAGGTCTCTCTATTACATTTTTATTTGTGGGTGTCTTTCAGAATAAAATTATGTTCTTCATAATACAAAGCTCTATATGGTTGCTGATATATTTATTCCTGAATATTTTATAGATTTTTATCACCACTGTGAATGAGATTTGATTTTTATATTTTAACTTCCTATCCATTATTGTTGATATAAATAAAAGCTACTAATTTTTAATGTTTTTCTTTTATCCAGAAACTTAATAAACTCATTAATTCTAATAGATTTTATTGGAGTTTCTTGAGATTTCCAGGTATACAATTACATTATATACAAATAAAGACCATTTTAAAATTTCATATATATTACATATACATGACACATTTTATTTTCTTACATGACTATAATAACTACAGCTTCTGAAAAAAGTTTAATAATATAGTAATGACAGACATGCCTCTCTTGCTTCTAATTGTAATAGAAATGATTCAACATGTCAGGATTCACTGTGACACTTACAGCTGCCTTTTGATAATTTGGTTTTTATCATGTTTAATTTATTTCTATTTGTATTTTAATTCATTTTAATTTTAACTAGGAATATCTGAAGAATTTTATGGAATATCTTCTTGGTACTTATGTAAGGAATCATATGGGTTTACTCCATTAATCAGTTCATGTAAGTAATTATGTTAATAGAATAAATTCTGCTTTGTATTATACAGTTTGCTAACATTTTATTTAAACTTTTCCCCTCTATGTTTATAACAGAAATTGATCTCTGTAAACTGAAAATATTCTAAGTAATATATCAACTGGTATCAACTGGTGTATATCAGTTTTGTAGTTAATTTGATTGTAATCAAATTACATATATATGTATTCAAATTACATTTATTTGAATCAAATATATATGTACATATGTCTGTCCATATGCACAAAGACACATTCTCCCTCTTTTGTATTTAATTGATTTGGCCTTTTCTTTTTATTGGTTCATACTGCCTATATTTTACTTTGTTTTCCTGTTATTAATTACTCAAATTGAATATTTATTTTAGGAGCATCTGGATGACTCAGTTGGTCAAGTGTCTGACTCTTGATCTCAGCTCAGGCCTTGATTTCAGGGTTGTGAGTTCAACTCCACATCAGGCATGGAGCCTACAATCAATCAATCAATCAACAGTTTTACTAAGTTTTTACCTTTCTTTCTTAATTATAAGAATATTTAAAGTTAACAATTTTGCTCTGTATAGAGATCTTACTATATATTGGGGCTTAGGTATGAAATAACCTCTCTCACTATTTGAGGATTTGTAATACCAGGGGTTTGTTTTGGTTTTGGTTTTGGATTTTTTTTTTTTTTGAGTGTAAAAGAGAGAGTTGGTGGGGAGGGGCAGAGAGAGAGGGAGAGAATCCCAAGCAGGCTCCATGTCCAGCATAGACCCCACACAGGGCTCAATCTCATGACACCAGCTCATGACCTGAGCCAAAATCAAGAGTCAGGTGCTTAACCAACTGAGCCACGCAGATGCCCCTATAATTTTAGTTTTCTCTTCTTTGGATACAGAGTTATTTGAAATGGTATATATTTACTTCTTAAGTTTCTAAGATATTTTTCTTTCATATTATAATTCTGTATTTGGGATATCAATGTAGTCTATAAAATTATCTCCTTTTGAAATTTATGAAGGTTTTCTTTGTGACCAAGTATATGATAGCTGTGGAAATTATTTTAATAACTACAAGGGAAGAATACATTTTATTAATATCTATCTATATAGTTATTCATGTGTATAGGCATATGTACATCCTATATATATCTATTAAATTTTCTAATTATTTTTGTGTATATGCTTAAAATAGTACCTGAAAAGTACTATGTATCTATTGAAAGAAACATTGTATTTCTCAGTTTTTAATTTATATATTTGACTGTTATGTAGCATGATCCATAATAATTCGTGACTACTATATTTTCTTCATAGATTTTTATCATTTTTCACTATATAATACCTTTTTCACCTAGTTAATGTTTTTGGCCTTGAATTCCTCTTCATTTGATATTATTAATGCCACTCCAGCTTTCTTGCTATTTGTATATGCCTGCTGTATACTCATTCCTTTATTTCAATTTTTCTTTAAATGAATGTTTTATTATGCTCTCATAAATAACATGTGGCTCAATCTTTGTTAAAATCCAACTTCACTGTCAACTCTAATTCCATGATAGCCAAGTAATCTCCTTTTGAACCCAACCTTCCAACAAATAATGACTATGAATTCTGAATCTAAAAAAAGAAACAAAGAGGGCCACCTGGCTGGTAGAGTATGAAATTCTTGATCTAGGGTCATGAGTTTAAGCCTCACATTGGGTGTGGAACTTACTTTAAAAAACAAACAAATGAGCAAACAAAAGAAAAGAAAAAATAAGAAAAATTAGCCAAAGCAAGAAGATTCAAGAAGGACCTGACATTTAAAAGATATAAATAATTTGCACATCCATATTCATAGCAGCATTATTCACAGTAGCCATGAGATAGAAACAATCCAAATGTCCATCAATGAATGAATGAATGAATGAATAAAATGTTATATATACCTACAATGGAATATTATTCAGCCTTAAAAAGAGAAGTTATCCTGTCTCATGCCACAACACAGATGAACCTTGATTGCATTATGCTAAATTAAATAAGTCACTCACAAAAAAAAAAAATGTTTGATTCTACTTATATGAGATATCTAAATGAGTAAAATTTATAGAAACAGAAAGTAAAATGTTGGTTACCAGGGACTGGGGAGAGGAGG